GTCTGAATTTTTTTTTATCGAGTTCTTATCCTTGACATAGTGGCTATCAATACACTACAAATGAGCAAACTAACACTTGCTTTGATACTTATGAAACGAGACTAGACTATCTCTAAGATCTAAGACCCTTCCAATCTATAGCAATATAAATTTTGTCACAACGTAAGAAAACATAGACCAGAATCAAAACAATATGAAATATGAAAGACAAAATAGAGCAAAAGAAAATAAAATAAAATAGATCAGAAAGATGTAAAACCAAATTTTACTAAGAGAAAGAGACCAAAGCCATATTTGACCAAATATCCAAATGGCTTTGGCTAGTTCTATTTATACTTTGTCCAACCACCCTAGAACTTTTTAAAATATTCTTAATGGTAGGCCTCACCTAAATAATTACCTTAAGCCTTTTCTAGAATATTTTATAGTAGATCTTACATACACCACCAATTTAGCCCTAATTCTAAAAACCTCTAAAAACTTCTACAAAATTCTCAAATATGATATCAATTATCTATTTTTATATATTAAAAATATAAATATCTTATCTATACCTTGTTACAATTATTATTTGAAGTGATATATCTTAAGAAAATAACTTGAGCTGTATAAAATCCATACTTCTTTAATTTGGCATATAGTCCTATATCTCCAAGTTTTTTTGATATATAAAAAATATAAATTTATATTTTTTTTATACTCTTAAAGTAGATTAAAATGCCATTTGTATAATAGGTAATAAAATAATTTACAACCTCTTTAAAAATATAATTTATTGATGTTAAAAAGTAATTGATGCATTTGTAAGTCCAAAGGCATAATATTGTAATCAAAATATTCATACTTAGTTTAAAATACAATCTTTCATTCTTCTCTTTTTTTTACAGTGTATAAATTTATATGCACTTTATAGATTTATTTTTTTATAGATTTTTGCTTAATTCAATTGATCAAGAAATCTTTATGTTAAAGATAAAAGATATTTATTTTTATAAGTGATTTTATTGAATCTTTCATAATTCAAATATATCCACATTAATTTATATTTTTTCTTCATAAATAAAATAGAAGTTCTTTCTAAAAAAATTGAATGGCATCTAAAATTCTTAGCCAAATTATCATCAATGTATTCTTTGATTATATATAACTTATTTTTAAAATAAAAATTGGTTCAAATGGTGATTGAAGAATCATAGAGACAATGCTTTGGAAGAATATTTATATTTTTCTTTTCAAAAACATCTTTATAATCTTAACACTAACTTAAAATATGGTTTGAAGTCTTTTTTTATTAAAAATAGATGTGATATTCATAAAAAAAATAATATTTTTTTATAACATGTATGAAAACTCTTGTACTTGATTTTTAGACCTCATGAAATTTTTTGTAATCTTAAGAAATACATTGGTTTGATTGAAGAAAATATTTATAAAAGCATAATAAGCTTAGATTTCTCTAAATATTTTTGAAAGCAATTAAAAAATTGAACAAGGAATAATTGCTGTAAAAAGATCAATAACAAGATTAGAAAAGAAGGTCAACTGATACCCAAGAATATCAAGAATACTTTTTTTCCAATTGATTAGTTTAATTTTTTTTCAAACTTTGTGTGGTTGGTATTTTTTAAAGATTTAAATATAAAAAAAAAATTAGTTAAAATCAAAAATTTGATTAATAATTATTAAGATTTTATAATTATTACAAGAATTTGATTATGATTTTTTAAAAATTTTATTTGAATTTATTTGTGATTTTTTTATGATTTTATTAAGATTTATTTTAAATTAAATTAAGATTTTATTAGGATTTATATAAGATTTTCTTAAGATTTATTATTAATTCTGTAGAATTATTATTTTTGATATTATTTTGGGATTTATTTGTTTTTTATTCTTTTTTAATATTTTTTAAGGTTATTTATGATTATTTTATGATTATTTTATGATTATTTTATGATTTTTTAGACTTTCTATAAAATTTCTTCAAAATATATTAAGATTTAATTAAGATTATTAAGATATAATTAGAATTTTTTAAAGATTTTATTAAAATTATTATAAAATTTGATATTCTAATCATTAATTTACCTTCCACATTCAAGTGCTCAATCTATTCTCAAGTAAAATAACACATTATACAATATTGGACAAGACATTGAAATTTTTACAATCTTTAAGATAATATAATAGAAATGAAGATTCTCAAAAATAACATTTTTTTTTCTAATAGATAGTGAGATACAACATGTTCAATATTACAACCTTGGAAGAAATTATAAGTTTTTGAAAATATTATTAGAAGTATGTAGCATCTATAATGGTATTTTAAATATTTTATTTGAAAAAAGTTACAAAGACCTCAACAATGATTAATTAATAGGATGATCTTTTTTCTTTGATATAAGATACTATTGAAGGTTGAGAAGATCTATCAATTACTTTTGAAAGAAACAAAGATCATAGTTTGTGGCAAATATAATTTGTTGCATATTGGATTTCTTTAGCATGTAATCACCTTTGCTTGTGAAATTTATTTTTAAAAGAAGAAAAAATATTAAGGATATTTTTGACATTAAGAATTATATTAATAAAAAGAGTTAAATAAAAATAAATAAAAATAATAAATTTACTAATATCTTATAGAAAAGCTTCTTAAAAGATTCATAGATCTAGATATGACATTATGTAAGTTTTTAGGTGTTTGATAGGTTAAAAGCTTAGTTAAGAAGTTGGCTATGTGGCATACATGTAGAAAACTTATTTTGTAAGTTGAACATGTATTGGAGGTTCTATAAAATGTCTCCATATAATTCCTAGTTAGGTAGTATAGATGGATGTAAGAATAAGATCTTTGTCACTCTTGTCAACACCTTTCTTATTGTTAGTCTTATTTCAAGAGTCTTTAGTTTTTTTAATATTTGGCAATAGTCATTTTAGTTTTAATATTACACTATCTTTGAATGTATACCTATTCTTTTTGAGTAACACAAGAATATATTGAATTTTTAATTATTTGTGATTTATGTTATTGACAATATGGAAGATAAAAAAAAAAAAAAATTCAATGGTTAATTTATAAAATCCTTTATATATATATATATATATATATATATATATACAAATAAATTGATGTATCTAATAGAAACTTTGAAAATTAAATAAAATTCTTTAGATAATTCTCAATATTATATATATTTTTAAAGAAAATTCATTTGATATAAGATAGATTTTAAATCAATCCAAACATTACATAAATATTTTTTTAAATCAATTAAACTATTTTAAAAAAATAAATAGATAAGGCACTTAGGTTTCTATTTAAACATGTCTCAAAAGTCCTTATAATGCTATAAAATAATATTAAAAAATTCATCTGAAGAATAACTAAATATTAAATAAATAACAAGAAAATAACTTTATTTTGCATATCGCAAAAAAAATATTCATTTAAGAAATAAATATTGAATTTTTTAGATATAAGATATAATACCTAAAGATCATATTTTTAAAGACATAATAAGACTAAAATAAAAAATATTTTTAAATGATAGTATAAAATCTTTATAAGATGATATTGAACAAGAATCTAGTTGTATTGTTCCTGTTGTAGTTAAACAAACTTATTTTTGAACACCTTATTTTCTTTTGTAATCATTTTCCTTATTTTTTGGTTGTGCAACTTTTTCATATATTTTGAGAAGTATATTAAGAAGTTGTATGTTTTATAGAGAAAGACTTCTAAATAATGTTAAGTTTGTTTTGTATTTTGAGAGACTTAAATTATACAATGTCAACTTGCATTGTTTTTCTTTTGAATTATATACTCTTAAATATCATAATAACTTCTATGAAATAATTAAAACATTAAAATCAGAATCAGAAGCCTTTTTGAACAAAATTCAAAGAATCAGCTGTCACACTTAACAACATTGTTAGTTATTAATTGTAATGATTATAAATTAAATATATTCAATAATTTCTTTGAAATAAATTAATGTAAAACTCATATTTTGTTAGAAATTTTGAATCGATTTCTAAGTTTATGAAGTTATATAAGAATTATCGCAATAGAACAGTAACTCATATATTCTACCAAAAATTCAAAAATTCAAAATTGAATGTTGTAGCATCAATACTAAAAAGTCGCGATGCAACATGTTCTTGTCCAAATATAGCAACAAGAATACTTCAACCACTGCCACCGTTTCCAACAGAAAGGACGTTGTGAAGCCCCACTTCTCCCAGTGCAACATCCAGTTCACAAACCAAGCGAGAGAGCATCATCGTCGTGAGAGAGATAGGTACCGATGCGATGCTACACCAAACCTGCTTCTCAATTCCTTGTTTCACACATCGCAATATCACGACGATGCAGCTCAGTGAAAGATTCCACATCAGTGAATGAATGCTGACCCGGGGTTGGACTTCACATTGCACCGTAACTGTCTCTCCTGTTTGCTTCGAGAATGAGCAAACATCACACTGAAATTGGTCGGGAGTATTGCAAGAGTGGGAGGTTGCAAGACTAATTTGGGTATGAGCAGAAGAAGTCTGGCGATGGAGGAAGGGAGGGCTTTATGTACCAGGATGACGCCTTCACATGCAGGAAGGAGTTGCACCAGCTGGGTGGTTGGGTAGGTGACCACTCCATGGTCTGACCGCGCCTAACCTATCTGATGCCGCAGCTAGCAATATGGGCAGGATCGCGCGTTCGTTCGCCACAAGTATTTTTGACTACCGGGAAAAGTTTGTTTTTTTTTTTTTCTTGTGCCCTGTTGGAAGTCCTCTGTCACCTATAGTTGGCCCCACAGGATGTGGAGTACTTCCTGGATGCCTTTCAATCGTGTTCAATCCCCGTCTTCTCCGGCTCGTCTTTTTGTTTGCTTTTTTTTTTTTTTTTTTTTTTTTTTGGATTGTTTTTTGTTTTTCTTACCGTGACTTGTATCGAGCTTCACCCTGCGGTGATAGTTTCCCCAGTTGCCGACAGCTATACCGGGAATCTTGCTCACATGGGCGTCTTTTTCCCCCCCTTGCCTTACTCTTCCCCTCCCGAAGCGGTTGGCCTGCCTGTCTCGCTCGGGACGAGCTTTCTGGTGAAGAAGAGATACGCCAGTGAGGGTGGAGGTGAAGTTAGGAACATTCAGGCAGGTTGGATAATCTAGCACCTCACTTGTTATATCACTTTGATGTCCAGTTCGCGAGATTCCTGTTTCGGGTCATGTTAGTCGCCGTGTTCTGGCAGGAGGCGGGGGTAGGGCGGGTTGCAGGTCAGGATATGTTGGATGGCCAGCGAGGGTTCCGGATTCTCAAAACCTAGTGCTGTCGAATATGCTAGCCTTATAGCCGAGGTTTCGGCATGTGATACAACCGCCCCAGACACTTGAATCTGGTGCGTGAATAGGACCGATTGTTTTGTTTAGTATATGCTTACTGCATTAGATGTTTGGGTGGTAAGATGTGATGGTTGCGGCGCCTGAGAAAGCGTGGGCCCTCAGGTGGCCCATTGCTGCAACTCGCCATTTCGTTAAGCGTGCTCACTACAGGATTGTACCTTAATCGCACTGAGAGAACACTCTTAGAAGTCTTAATCGCGCTGTGAGAATACTCTTTTATTTGCATACCTTCTTCCATGCCGGACACAGTTGAGATTGTGGATCAGTTGGGATGTGCGTTATCTCGAATTTTGTAAGATTTTCCCACGCTTTAGTGTTTGCGGAGTGTCAGGATATTGGCTAGATCGGCCAGTAGGTTCAAATTGGCCACAGGTTGTACCGAGAAGAGTGAATCTAGATTTTGTGAAGTTTCCTCAATTGACATCACTGTGATATAATAGAAGAAAAAAAAGTTCTCTATAGTCGGACTCGAGCTGCTTAGTCTTAAGAGTTTTTAGGTTTGAACGTCGTCGTGTAGATTTACTTTGGCGCTCGGTGAATTTCAGTTTTAGTGGTGACACGACATCTTAATATTTGACAACCATCCAACGGATGCAGTGAGATAATCTGAAGATTAGAGCTGCCATATTGTGATTTTTAGTAGTAGAATGATCATACACACTAAGACTCTACTTCATCATCTCACCAGTATTTCACAACTTCCAATCAGGGCACTGTGTAACATATCTGCTGTAGCAAGTTATGAATTTCAATGAATTGTATGAAAGAAAAAGTTCTGCTTGTGCAGTTGAAGCGGAACGTGTACGCTTGCACGGAACCAATGCCATTCAAACCCGAGAACCAACAGCATTAGGGTCTCGCTATGCAGGTACTTTTCTTAAGCGATGGGTTTAAACATTTTGATATATATATATATATATATATATATATATATATATATTGCGCCGCTTATATCTTCAAGCGTATTGCGCCGCTTATATCTGCAAGCGTTTGGTATGACAAGCAATTCGGTACTGGGGTAGGAGGTTTTTGTGTGTGATTTTAAGGCATGGTAACTTCACCACCGAACAGTGATCTTATTGGGTGGTATTGGTCTAAAAGACATGCTTGTATGCCTGCTTTGAGACTGAATGCAACGAGAGAGTCGATGCGAAATCGTGTGATGATGCAATTGTAATTGCTCACCACTGTGTAGGATACTTTTGTTGCTACAGGAAAGTGTTGTTCAAGGAAGACTCTAAATCTTCAACTGGAAGGTTGAAGAACCTGTTTGTTGAGGTCTAGTGCGGGTCTTCATCAACCTACCATTTTGCCATGCAGCCTAACAATGGCGAACCTATGGCTATCTTTTCACCGGGAGTGCTGGACAGTAGCGGCTATGGTTCGTTGCTTGGGTGCTTCAGCGCCGCACCAATTGACTTGCCCGAGGTGGAGCTGAAACGAGGAAAGCGAAATTCGAGGAAAGTGTGGAAAGATGCCATACCAATGGGAATCGAGGAGAGTAACGATGTTGAGTTTTCACCCGACGGAAGATTGAATTGGACGGAGCCTGAGGTTTGGAAGGAACATGAGAGCATGAAGATATTGGAGAGTAGCAAGGACAAGAGTAGAAAGGAAAAGAGGAAGGAGAAGCATGACTACAGTTCCGATGAGGAAAGGAAAGACGGTAGGAAGCGAAGGCGCAGAGATATCGAGACAGCTGTGCCCTGGACAGAGGAGATGGTGAAATATTTATTTGAAACATACGACGACGTGCACCGAAGGCTATACATCGAGAGCAGAGGCAAGGTGAAGAACCAGAAGAAATGGGATCCTATCATTAAAACAATGCAGGAGAAATTCGGCCGGATATTCACGAAAAACCAGTGCGAGAGCAAGTACTGGAAAGTGCGCCGTGAATGCGCCAAGTATAAACTCAGATTGGAGAAGCGCGCACAGCATGAGAAAGATGCGTACCCTAGCAAGGCCGTTCGGGAGCTCCTGAAGCCCAAATTGTATGACGTCTGGCTCGAATTTGCCGGGGGAAAGTCTGTTCGCATGCCTGAGAATGAAGTTTCCTCAGGGTCCGAGGATGAGACTGCACCCGAGTTTGCGATCTCAACTCCTGCCAATGACGATGACCAAGTCGGTGACGGAAACGAAGAAGATGGCGAAGCAAGCCATCACCGTCACTCCGCAAGCTGCGCTATTGTCCGCGAAATGCAGCAACTCATAACCAGGCGCGTGGAAGCCTCGGAAAAGCGCGAGGAAGCGCTCAACATCCGTGCAGAGCTCACCATGGAGCTCTTACGGCAGCACATGGAGAGGATGGAGCGTACAGGTCACACGGGAGACGACGCTCGGCAGCGCCAGCTGCAAATGATCGAGGGCGTGGACAACAAGCTTGACAGGCTTGTGAATGGCCTGGGAGCCTTAAACACCAACATCGGTGCCATCATCGGCAGTCTCACACCCACACAACGCTAGACTCCGCACGTCCTCGCAATCCCCTCATCCCCATCCCACCGCATTCCCACAACGCAAAATGGGATTCACAGTGATGGAGAAGTTTGCAGCTAGCGACAGATTGCTCATGGAGACGATGGTGTTAGCTGATGCTGCTGCTAGTTGACGCTTTGTATGTTCTGTGCTCTGTAGATAGATTAAGTGATTAGGTTACTATTACCTTCGCAACGCCTGCATGTCCATGTCTTCTCATGCACATCAGGTGGGAAACGGAGAGAGTGATGGAGTCTCAGCGATGGCTTGCTTAGTTTCTCAGATAAACTTGACCGCTGCTGCTGCTGCTGCCGCCCTGAAGTGGTGCATTGAACTGAGCTGAACTGAGTAGCCTCGGTCATAGCAGTTCTGCCTATGAACCTTTTGCATGAATTAGTAGTAATTTTGCTTTTTCCAGCACATATTAATTAGCGTAATTTTTTCTTTTGCTGTGGTATTATTGGTGGCACCAGACCCAAGTGCAATTTGGGGGTTTATTAAAAGTTATGACAGGAGGTTTCCAAACTCCACACCTAGTAATCTTGTAGTGTTACTCTTGGCAATTTGCAGCAACATGTAGATTTTGATCTCTAATTGATCAAAAGTTGAGTTATTGCTTCACTTTTGATGAAAATAATAATGAAAATAATGAGATATACAGCCAATTAGAAATGGTTTTTGTCTCCTTTGATTCATCATGTTGGTTTATCTCTCTAAGTTGTTATATATAAGATTCATATATATATATATATATATATTCCTTTGTTATTAAAATAAGAGGTGTCTATCTTTACTTAGAATGGTTTCATGTTGCATTGAGGTCACTTTGCTTTGAGAATAACATGTTGAATGGTCATTCATTATCACTTTGATGTCCATAGGTTACTGTTCAATGTTATTGAATCATTACTAAACCATTATTCTTATTAAATATACATACACAGAAAGAGATATTCTTTGTTTTTATAATTGTTTTTTGAGAATTTATTGTAGTTTTGGCACCTCCAACAAATTTGATTTTTATTTCCATTTTAAATTTAAATTTCTAATATGAGGTTGAATTTACTACAACAAGCTTTAAAAACTTTAAATTTTGTTTACAATTCTTTTATAGAAATACTTGTATTTCTTGTAATTTTGTCAAAATATTTAAGTTACAAAAGATAAGGTGTTTTTGTTTTTGTTTTTTGTTTTTGTTTCAATTACATGATTATCACTTTTGTCATTCTGAATTCACATATTTGTAGAAGTATAAAAGTGAGTCAATAAAATATATTATGTGCAATCGAAATTAAAAAATATATGCTATTTTAAATTTATTTAAATTTTTAAATATGTTATGTAATATAGAGGTTTAGGCCGGCTAATCTTTGCTTTATAAAAGTGTGCTATACTCTCTACCAATGTGTTTGCCAATGTGTTGTAATATTTATTAGTTACTTCTATGTAAGAGTAATTAAATAATAACATTTGAAAACTATTTAATAAAAAAAACATTGAATAATTAGTTTTATATTTTATAAATATTTATATATTTTATTTTATTTTATTTTTCTTAAATTTTTATAACTATTTGTGAGTATAATTATTGTTGTCAATATCTTAGTGGAAAAACTAAAAAAAACCTCAAATATTGCAATATATGTTATAAAATACATGTACATAAAAGATGTAATGAAATTTATAATTTATTGTAATACATGTTATAAAAGATGTAAAAAAATGATAATAACATTAATTTGAAAATATTATTTTTCTGTTTTAAATAATTAGTTTAATGTAGGAAAATCCTAGTATAATTTGAATAGAGGTATAGACTATTGGTATAGGTTATGTTAGTTATATATAACAACTTAGAGAGATAAACCAACATTTAAAAAGTCAATTATATGGTGAAATATTTCTTTTACTAAACTTACACCATATATTTGACTTTTTTTACTTGATTTGTAAATTGGTAATTTGTGATTTATATAATATATATATATATATATATATATATATATATATATACAATAATATTTTTAACCAAATCTTGAGTATTTTTATCTTTTCTATTTGTAAGGATGTATTTGGTAACTTAATATAGCATTGGCCTCCATAACAAATTTGACTTAGACAAAGATCATAATGTGCTTGCCAAAAACATGAGTTTGTGACTTTTGTTGTATCTAAGACTGTGTTTCAATGTGATGTATATTTGTTAATTTTTCTCATGATTAAATTTTTAGAAGTCAAAACGAAAAAAATATATCTATTATGAAAGCTCATAATTTTTTCTTTTAAATAATTCTTCAAAAAAATACCAAATGAAAATTATAGAGATCTAATGTACATCAATATATTAGTTGAAGTTGTAACCTAAGTTGTTACTTAAAGTAATAACATCATAGCTAATAACCATTTTATATGTAGTACAATTTTATTAGAATTGGATTTGTTTTGTACAATTTTTTTTAAATACTTAACCTATAAGACATTATTATATTATAATTACATCAATTAAGCTATTAAATAAATCAAAATATATATATTTATATATTTTAGGTCAATTCAAAATTGTGATATTTTGACTATTGTTTCTGTAAACTTTGAAAAATAAATAAATCATGTCAACTATCTAAATACAATTCAAATAGAGCATAAGAGATTATGAAAATAAAATCATATTAAAATGTGCAAACTTATCTTATATTGTAGATAATTACATCTCATAGTTTCTAATTGGTATCAATTTTAATAAAGATAAAATGCAAAACAACATTTGAAAACATTGTATATTGTGATTTTTTCAAACACAAATTTATATAACTCTAACCTATACATCTTCATATAAAATTTTAAAAATATATTTTTTAACTAATATAAAATAAAATAGAATATATGTGACATTATCTCATATCAATTTGATCTTTCTACCATCCACACATTACATAAAAAGAGATTCATTTACACAATTCATCCAAGTGAGGGACATTACAATAGATGACGACTTAGAGAATTCTTCCCAAATTATAGAAGAACCAATAAAAGCACACCATGTGTTTTTGTTGGAGAATATAGGATATTACAAGAGAAAAAGAAGTTGCTATTTAATTTAATAGATTTTTTAATGAATGAAAAGCAAGTGAACTTAAGTGGGATTTTCCCCTACAAATAGAACATTTTAAGCAATCTTCTGTTGCTCTCTAAAATCACATTCTTCAAGGGCATGAAGGTGGCTTAAATTCAATGTGATTCAATTAATCCATATCAATCCTCTAATTTGCTTCCCTCCACCCAACCACGAAGCCCCGTTCCCACCTTGATTTGCTGACAGTTTCCCCAGCGGGCATGGTTTAGATTCCTCCATTGAAGAAGCTGTACTGCCAAGGTATATTTTATAATCCCAAGCAACAGGGAAAACCGTGTGGGGATATAAATAAACACCAGGAATTAGAGATCTCATACTCAGTGGATGATATCCATCCAACCGGGTACAACGAATGGAAGCATGGAACATACTCTTGAATGGGATCAACGGACCAGGGTATCGAATCTAAACCGGGTATGCATTTCTGAAGGGAGGGAGGGAGGGCGTCGACAGAGGCCTCCCTTTGGTTGTTTGGTTGCGGCCAGCCAGGTGCCCGGCGAAGGCTCCGCCATCGCATTCTTCCACGACCATATCCGTCTTTTGCGTCGCAGAATGGCGGATCTGCGTTTTCCCGTCATTCCATCGTCATTTCTTTCGTGTTCTGCTTTCTGGGTCACCACCTGATCGCCGAAACCACGTGGGATCTTTCCTTTAGGGTCCCGCCCATCTTTTTCTTTTGTTGTTGCTTCCTCGTCCTTGTCGTCGGAGCGCGAGGAACCGACTATGACCTCAGACAACGCTCACTCCATACAAGTCTAACTCGGAAGTACCGTCTCTGCTTCGCTCCCCTCTACTCCCCTGTTCTTGTCTCTGATCCCACGGTTTCATCACCTATTAACTGCCGCATTTGTTGTATTGTTGTTTTTTCGTAGTTACTGTCATCGGTGGTTGGGTCTGCAGGATTATTTTTTAAACTCATAGAGTTGCATTTGAGTGTGAGTTGTTATTTCACTCTGTGCGAGTAGGTGGGATTTGTTGTTGCGGTGGGGGCGAGGTGGTGAATAGAGGAAAAGTTGTGAGCGGAACAGTGGTTGTGTGTACAGCCGAAAGAGTAGCGAGGTGAGTGAGAGAGGCAGTGATAGAGAGAGCGGTAGTCATGACGACGCGACCTCAGAATGTGGGCATTTTGGCCATGGACGTATACTTCCCAGCGAGTTACGTGCATCAGGTATGCATTCCAATGCTGGATCCTGGCGGCAGGTAGTTCATTTGGAGAGGTTACCACGAGTCCGGGTAGTTTCGGCATGTTTGGTTCAGTGCTAAAGCGGTGAGGATTCCAAGTTCCGCTGTGAACTATATTCAATGCTGAATCTTTGCATTCAGCAGTGTTTCGCATTGACAGGCAGTCATTTTCAGCCATTTTCAACTGTTTGTGGAGGGGTTTATTTTGGGTTAGTTCTTGATTATCGTGTTTTGGTTAACAGTTAGTATTGATCTTCGAATGTTGTTGTCAGTATGTTGGGACTAGGAATCTGGGAAAGGAGCGTCATTGATGATATCAATGAATGTGGGTTCATGTCTATGAGATGGTCAGATTTTCCTTGTTCGTGAAGCATGGAAATAGCAATCTGATCTCGTGAGAGCGGTGGTGCAGAAGCTTTTAAGAGGGACATAGATAGAAATGTCCACAAGAAATGGTCATTTGTATTGGAATGTTCATGAAAGCAATATTTGGGGGTGCAGGAAGCGTTGGAGGAGCACGATGGAGTGAGCAAAGGAAAGTACACTATTGGTCTTGGACAAGACCGGCTTGCCTTCTGCACCGATCTTGAGGACGTTATTTCCATGAGGTACCTCACCATTCAAATCTGCTATTGGTGGTTGCGAGTTTCTTATTTTTCTCTTTTGTAGATTGGACTCTCAGATCATGAGATGTGGCGAACTGGCTATTGCTCTAGATTTTTGGCGTCCCTGCCAGTCTTGCTTGCTATGGAACTCTCTGGGTATTTTTGCATTGCACGAACCAGTTAGTCTTGGTATTCACGACTTGTTTCGGGTGAGTGTCAGCTTGACAGTTGTGAAGTCATTGTTGGAGAAATACGGCATTGCACCTGAAAGCATTGGACGCCTGGAGGTGGGCAGCGAGACAGTCATTGATAAAAGCAAGGCCATCAAGACATGCCTTATGCAGCTATTTGAGGTCCGTTTGGTGACGTCTTTTATCACTTCAAATTAACTCCCAAGTGTTCCAGGAATCTGTGTCTTGCTTTGGCACAATGTAAAACAGTAACGCATATCCCTGACTGTAACTTTGAGATTAGCTCGAGACATGGACGACGACGACGACTTATACCTTGAATCAAATGACTCCTAAATGGTTGCTGAAGATGCTTTGTTTCTGAACGTTAAATGGAAGGTGTGGTCTTCTCTGATCTATTGTCACTTTTCCTCCTGTGTGTACTGGCAAGTAGGAATCGGGTAACGGCGATATCGAGGGAGTTGATTCTACCAATGCTTGCTATGGAGGAACAGCAGCTTTACAGAACTCTCTCAACTGGGTGGAGAGCAGTGCTTGGGATGGACGTTATGCAATTGTCGTCGCTGCAGACAGCGCTGTATGTTCCTTGAGCTTTACTTTGGCGTTCAAGCTGGTTTTGTCGAGTTCAATCTTGCCCCACTCTTGAAGAATTTTTTTTCTTTTCTCTTACAATCTATTCTACCTTTCAATCTGCTTATGTCTCTCAGATACCGCTGCCTCTGGTCTGTATTTTGCTTATGAACTACTGAGGGTTTAGTCATTCGGCGAGGAAATTAGAACATTAGGAAGGTGACTCGGCCGAATGGATGCCGTGGCAGGTCTATGCTGAAGGGGCTGCACGTCCAACTGGTGGTGCTGGAGCCGTAGCCATGCTAATCGGACCCAATGCGCCCATTGTCTTTGAGCGTTGTCTCAGTGGGACTCATATGGCAAATGTGTACGATTTCTACAAGCCTAATCTGGCCAGCGAGTACCCGGTACGTTCCAGATATAGCGGCCTGTTTAGTGTGCTTCCAACCTGTCAAGCGATTTTGTGAGGTTAATTTCTTTTCTAATTACTTTTATCTTGTTTTCGATGGAAATAATGAGCAGTGTGAGAGTTTGAAACATTCGAAGTGGTCTTTTCATGGGTGAGTTTGTAACTTTGCACCTTATTATGCATAATTGCATTCAATTCCATACGTAACAATGGCGCTATTTAATGGCAGATTGTTGATGGAAAATTATCGCAAACCTGCTATCTGCAAGCACTTGACTCGTGCTACCGGCGCTTCTGCGAAAAGTATGTTTCCACACCTTTCCAATTGCTATGCCATTCAATTTTCTGGGTACAACGCAATGAGCTTTTCTGCAGCCGTCGTATATCACTTTATGGGTTATCGATTAATCCTTTTACGTGTTTTGACAGGTACGAGAAGCACAGTGGCAAACCTTTCACCCTCTCTGACGCTTCTTATGTTGTGTGCCATGCACCTTACAATAAGGTAATGCGCCTCGCTCGAAAGTCTGCATATCTAGTGCTGGTCAATTACTCCTTTGGTCTTGCAAGCTTAACGAATGAGATATGAGATTATCATAAATTGACTAGTTACGATACTGGAAATGTGCAGCTTGTGCAAAAAAGTTTTGCTCGACTTGTCTACAATGACTACATCAGAAATGCAAGGTAATCGTTACGGGTTTTTCTTTATGCTTTTCTGGCATCTTGATTTGCATACTTGCTGACTTGCTGCTGACTTGTAATTGCTGACTTGCTGCTGCAATAATGAGAAGTTGTCAGATGTAATGTCCTCAAATATTAAATCTCTATCTGCGTGGTGTCTCCCTCCAGCTTTGTTAGCGAAGATGCAGCAGCTTTGTTTGAGCCGTTTGCAACATTATCACCAACAGATAGCCTTTTGAATCGCGACCTCGAAAAGGTATGTTCGACTTCTTACTTTTCAGCTGCGGTTTTGTATTCTTATGGCTATTTGAATTCTTATGGCTATTGGATTCCTACCGGTATCATGGAAATGCAGGTCTCCCAACAAGTTGCCAAGAAGCAATATGATGTAAAAGTCGCACCCACGACGATGTTGCCCAAGGAGCTTGGAAATATGTACTGTGCATCTTTGTATGCTGGTCTTGCCACCCTTGTGCATAACAAATCATCATCTTTGGTAATCGTCTCTGTCCTCTTTTAATGCACTTCTTGAGACTTTAATTGATGCATCTATCAGCTGCGTCAAGTATTTGAGAGGTTTGGTCTATTATGTTTTTGAAGTGACTTGACTTTTATGTCTCCAGATGAACAGACTGTAACAATGTGAAGCTGGTTCTAAAATTGGCAGGATGGCCAGAGAATACTTTTGTTTTCGTATGGTAGTGGACTTGCTTCAAGCCTCTTCTCTTGTAAATTTGTTGAAGGCCAGAAATTAGCAGAGATTGCAGAAAAAATGGACATCGCCGCGAAACTCCAGTCTCGTATTGCAGTAAGCTTACAAATCTCTAAATTCTATTCGAGAAGTAGCGATACTTGGTGGAATCACTCTACCACTTTGTATGTTTTTCAAGTTTCATTTTCGTATTCGAAAGGTTGTTGTTGACGAGGAAGGTATTGCTGCTAGCCAGTTTGGCTGATGAGTGATTTTTCATTCCCTTGGTGACATTATGTGGTGGTCAATTCAGGTTACACCCACTGAGTTTGTGGAAACTATGCATCTCATGGAAACTCGTTATGGTGCTAAAGATTTTATCCCAGTCAGCTCCAAGTCTACCCTGCGCCCCATGACCTATTATATTACCCAAGTAGACAACCTTTATCGCCGTAGTTATGACAGGTACCTAACAAAGGCTGATAAGGTGGAAGCCAATGGTGTGCATGGCCTAGCACACTAGTTTTTCAGATTCGCAGAGTCTGAAATTCGTTTAGGAGCATTATTACATGTAGGCAACTCTTTGCAATATCCTTTCCATTGCCGGATCCGAATGGTGGGAACGTTGATGTCACTACTGTGGTGGGGCCGCATTTTTTGGCAAGAAATTTAGCCAGGACCAACGAAAATTGTAGAATGTGAAGAATATGAGCTTGTCATTCCTCTTTAGTGACGCTCGCGTTGAGGAGCTTGTATTAAGATATTTCGAGGGATCCTTGGAGGTCTGATAGATGTATCTTACGTGTTGACGATTAAATATTTATTTCATTTTCTGCCATTATTTACAGTTCGACATGGCATGAATGTCCATCCTTTTCTATCTGGTGTCCTATATTAAAGCTAGCGCATTTTTCCAATGGATTCCCATCAGCTCATCTCTAACATTAACTGCTACACTTAATGTGTTCTCATTACAAATTTTCGATTCACTGTTAGAATTTTGTAGATCTGATAGTCATATGTCAATCCTGAAGTGGTGGTTGAGGACGTGACACACTGAACTCTCATTTCCAAGTCTGAAGCTGCCATCCATGCCAAGTTTTTTTTTTTTTTTTTTTTTTTTTTTTTTTGATGCAAATAAAGATTTCTTTATTGCAAAAACCCAGCCAGGTCCGGCCAGGAGGATGATTACGACTAAGGACAAAACTATCATTGGGACTGACTAGATTCCACTCCTGTTTATTTTGAGGTCAACATTCCGTTTTTACACCATTGTCGCTAGAACTCTTGAATCCGCTCACCAGCCTGTAAGGATTTTTTCTATCTTGTGTAGTTTTCTCAACCACTCCATTCTGCTATAATCCACTAAGTGCAATCAGATAGTTTGGTATAGTTTTTCTGCGGCCCACTGTACTCCATTAAAAACTGTATTGTTCAAATTGATCACTCCCCTCAGTAGAAGCCAGAGTTGGCTCACTGTCTTAAAGTGCTTGGAGATTCTGTAAGCAAAGAAACAATGTTTCCATGAAGGGGCAAACTGTGAGAGGGTTGTATGTACGTTGGTCGCTGTTCTTGCAATACCAATACTTGTATTATGGAGCAACACTCCCAAAATCTATGTTAGACTGATTTTATAGTGCTTGTTAAACACACTTGGCAACTTTGATCTACAGTACCATTCACCTTTCGTCTCCACTTGTTCACGGCTATGGCTCATTGCTAAGTAAGTTAGAAGAGCTTGACCTCTTTCAGTACCCTTTCTTTGTCATATACTTTCACCCTCTTGAGCCTAAAATTTGAAGATAGCATTCTACTCTACTTTTGAATTATCACATTTTGGACCACATATTATTCCTAAAATTAGAGCAATTCCATTTTTGTAATATAATGCATAAATAGGACTTGCTTCAGCTATTGATAATGACCAAGATCCCACACTAGGTGGTAAATTTGGCCATATCACAAGAAAGTAGCTTTTTTACTTGTTCCTTGCTATATAGATGCAATTCAAGATCTTCAAATAGTACCAATGACCTTGGTTGTACTCTAAGCCTCTTTTCTTGCTCATTATTTTTGTATATGTCAATGTTCTTTGGAAATTTTGATTTGAGGGTTTGTTGGGCCATCTATCCTATACATTTTGATAGCAAGGAGTATCTAATATTCTCTAAAATTCAAAGCAATTGCCTTGATTGTATCAATTTAGCATACCACCATGGACAAGTTCGAGTCCTTCATGGAGTAGATTCTTGCCTATTTCCTTATTTGTAGTTGTGCTATAAGGCCTATCATAAAATGCTCCACTATTGGTGTCTTTCATGTATCTTCTTCTTTTCTTTTATAACCAAATCAATATTGGGCTTCTAAAAAGTTAAAAAAGTTATCATCTTGTAACATGTCTCCATATTTTTTCAGCCCATTGTATTGAAGTTGTGTAGCTCTAACCTTAAAAAATCTTAGGCCAATAGAGGGGACTATAGGATGATGCCATACATTGCAGTTGAGTCATTCCTAATGACAAGTTGGGAGAAGGTATGTAATAAAAAAGAGAAGGAATTTTTAGGCTATTACAATTCTATTTCATACCATAGATCCCTTCCAGCTTTGATGTTTTATGACGATGAAGGATTCCAAACTTTTTTGTCAATTTCCTCTTAATTATGATTGAAAATTATTAAAATAGTAGAGTAACATCAGATATAAATTGAAGTTACTTCATTCTATAGCCTTTACAATCTATTTAACCATTAATGCTACTAATGCATCATTTGGATTAATGAGTTTGATTCTCTCTTTTTAGATGGATTGAAAATAATATGCATATACAAATTTTGTGCAAGTCTATTAAATGGTTCTCTTTGTTAGATAATTCTTGAAAGATGCTTTGATATTAAAGATGCTTCATTTAGTACCATCCTATAGTAATATAAAAAAGAACGTGGTAGAAAATAAGACATTATTGATCACCACTCTTTTTCATGTTACATCAATCAAAGACAAGTTCCAATGATTTGGTTTTTTATTTTTATTTCTTTGCAAAGAAGTTTCAAAATTTGTAGATTTGAGAGAGAGGCCAAAAGTTGTCCCTAGTAAATGTCTACTATTTTCTCATTTGTTCAACATATTTTAAGTCACTTGTCCATGAAGGATGAATAAGTAAAGAGAAACATCTTCAATAGCCACTTGATTTGAGCCAATTAATAATTAGGCCAAAATCTAAACAAAATATGTCCAAAATGTGGGTGACATGTCTCACATTTTCTTTCTCACTGAATAAGATTAAAGAAGTGTCATCCACATATTGTCCCATGATTTGTTGCCTATGTCTCATAGGAAGTTGGATCCTTTTAATAGCTTCTAGCTCAACTTCTTTAGCTATTATAGAATTGAGAGCTTCTACTAGTACAAAGAAGAGATAGAAAGCTAATAGACATCCTTGTCTTATCTCTCTTTTAATAAAAAATGATTTAAATAATGATCCATTGATATTTATCTTAGCTAATACATTTACAAACAATAGTTTGATCATGAGATTAAATTCTTTGAAAAAATTCATCTTCTCCATTATTATGAATAAGAAGTTTCATTCAACCAAATCATAAGTTTTAAAGAAGTACAATTTTAAAATAAAAAAATAGCTGGATTTTTATGTCTACGCCATAGTTTCATGTATCAATAATAAGTTGTTAAGAATAAATTTCTTAAAAAAATAGATAGATTGTTCTAAATTAATAATCTATATAAGTATTGATTGAAGATGGAGTTGCAATACCTTAGCATAAATTATGTTGTCCATGTTAAGTAAAGTAATTAGCTTCTAATTAAAAAGATCATATCTTAGTCCATTTTTATATAACAAGGTTATTAGACCTTGTATTACTCCTAGAAGAAAGCATCCTCTTTTGATACTTTTTGAAACATGGCTAAGTAATATGTCTCAATTAGATGCCAATATTTTTTTATAAAATTTTAATATGATTACATTGGCTCCAAGAGATTTTCCACCTTGTATCACACTCAATGCCTTCATAAGCTCACATAATATAAGGAATTTTTTAAGGCTTGATTTAATCAAATTCAATCTATTATATATATATTTTTATTATTTATTGTACAATATCTTTGATTTTAGTAGTAGTTAATTGTATCATATATAATCTACTATAAAATATTGGATAAATATAAGCCATCACTTCTTGAAAGTTGTCACTAAGAAGTTGTTCCTACTCTTTTACTAATTCTTTGATATAGGACATCTAGGCCTAGTCCTTGTAGATTAAAAAAAAATCTAAAGTACAATAATCCTTAATTAATTTCTATTTTAGCCTATTGTACAATATTTGTCTTCTAATCTTTGTGGCTTTTATCTATTTTAAGTAATCAGCTCACAAGACTAGCTACAATTAGCCTTGAGTATCTCTCAAGTCTGATTGTAGAATGTCTGCTAATATAGACAAGTCCTGCCATAGCAGATCTTCTGCTTGTCTATGTTTTATTGCTCTACAAACACAATAGGCCTTGTAAAATAATAGATATTTTTATAGCTTTCTAAAGAAGGAGAGGAATAGTGAGATGCTTCAAATTTGCCAAATATGCTACCAAACTTTTCAGTTTGAAGGAACTACGTACTCATGATATATGATGAATTTTGGTGCAATTCCAATTGTAAATTGACTTATCTCTACATTGGAAAGTAATCAAAGTATGAAGAGTGTGTGGGCCCATAACCTGTTGAGAAAAGAATACTATAAGCATAACACAAGTAAGTAGAAATCAGCAAGATTGCACATAAGAGAAGTGTGGAATGAGATGGTTCTCTCTTCCAACTCTCGTTACTTATAGGTGGTGGTTGCTGCCCTAAAAGAACTTCTTCCACCATTTGACCTTTATACATATGCTCCTTGGATCTTTTGGCTCATACCACGAGGGTATCCAAGGATCCTAGGATCCTATGGCATCTTACATACCACGAGGGTATCCTATGCCATATACTAATTACTCTTACCTAGTTCTTTGGATATTCCCTAGGACACACTTTATCCTCTTGACTTTGACTCTTTGTCCTTGACCACATCCTATGTCCATAGGATGCTTTTTCTATATATCAAGAGTCAAGCCTTTGACCATTAGCAACTTACCTAAGGAAATATCCTTTACGAGGTAACTTATTCTACTTTAACTATTATCTATTCATCTTTATCTTTTACCTCAACACAAATAAACAAATCTTGTGATGATCTTCCTTAATACTAAGAATATTTAGGTACAGTCAAGCTGTACCATTATGTAGTTATAATTTGACCATCTATTATTCCAACTAAACTTTAATATATACAATGTAAGAAAGTTATTGGGTACTTAAAGTCCTATTATAAGTACATAAATTAATCTTTGCTCATTGTCTACAAAGACTACTTCTTTTGTATTGGACTTGTTACTACTCTTTCAACAAAATTCCAATCCTTAATAAAAATTTATTAACTATTATTGAAGAGTTTTTCAATAAGCTCTACCTATAATACGTGCCACTTTTATATGGTGTATAGGGCACAAATATTTAGAATTGATAAATCACCTCCAATCACTCCTTAAAGCTAGATCTACAATTATAATGAGGCATAGATAAGATATTCATATTATTGATACATAGAAATATATAATTAAAGCTATTTTTGGGAAGTTTTTAAAATTGGAGCTAGGTTGATGGTCCATATAGAATCTACCATAGAATATTCTAAAAAGACCTAAAACATCTATTTAAATAGGATCTATCTTTAAAATATTTTAAAAGAGCAGTTACTTAGGTGGAGCCTACCTCTAGATCCTTCTACAAGGAGAGGTTATCTTAGTAAAGTTCATCATTGGGAATATTATAAAA